TAGACTCATAAAAAGACTGTTATTGTTTTTAAAACTCAGAGGGAAGCGTAGTATAAGCGCTTTTATGCAGGCATACTCAGGTAATTTTTCGAACATTGTTAATGCGAGTGACGGTATGCTCAAATCCATGGCAGCTCTTGTGTTGTAACAAACATTTATACCTTTATTTTTAACAACATTTGTTGTGGAACGCATATAGGGCGCAGTTAAAGATGTAGACTGTAGAATGGAGCCTTAATGATACCTGGTGCTAGTGGTATCTGATACGTGTTATTTCAGATAGTCGTATAAAACAGTTGTATGAGTGTATGTTATTACTGATTGTTTAACTTGATGGCTTCATGCTAGATGGATCCACTGATATTGAAAACACGATTTCTAAAATTTCGATATGTGGTATTGCCACAAAACCATCAATATGAACCGAAAGCCAAATTAATACATAGGCACAACAGCACACTACTCTCTAAAATTGTGCTTGTCTTTTTCTTTCATCATATTTCTTTGTTTGGCTTATGACCAAACCAAATATTAGATTAATAAACATCAACCATTCAAAACACTTGATTTGAACATTAAATTTTCCAGAAATAGTCTATCAGTACCTGTGAAACATGGATTACAGATTACAGAAGCGAGGAGTTGGCTTGCCAGCCTTAACGTCACTGTGATCCAAGTGGGTCTATTGTGACCCCCCTATATAATTTGTAAAGCACTGTGTCCAGCCTTGATCCTTTGATCAGATTCCATAGCCTTGACACAGAGCCTTGCATGTAGCTTTCCGCTGTTGGACCTGTGGTTCCTCCTATCTGAAACCGTAGCCTTGGCAGATCTTCACAGTGACACAGGAGATGCCCTTCCACTATATCAAAATATGATCAAATCCTTAGAATGTCATTATGTGCTCAAGTTGAGGCAGTAAACATTACTAACCAAGCCTGAGGCATGTAGGGTGAGAGGAGATCATTTTTATTCATGAACTTCTCAACCAAAGTATATATGTAATTGGTTCTCACTATTAATCCGTGAACACATTTAGCTATTTAGAATATAGAATTTTTTCCATACTTTCTACATTATTGTAAGTTTTATGTAGTTTGTTCTCTGAGCTTTCATCTTTGGCCACCACCTTTATAGAGCAAGTACATTTTAGTTTACGTCAATTGGGTCACACTCGAGTAAGTCTTTTGAAGTATGTTAAGTAGAATGATATGGAATAGGTCAATATTAAAAAAAACAATTTTTAACTATTCAGGAAGTTTTTACTGTTTTAATCAAATATTTGAACATGTGGCCATTTGACAATCTCTTGATTATATAAACTGTTGACCCTATCAGTCATATGAATTAATATGTATTTATGGATGAAACAGACTCGTATTACTGAGTTAAATTGGCAGAAAACAGTGATCATCAGAACACCTCTAAACTTTACCAGTAATACAGTTTTTGTCCATCCGACATATGTATGTGCTTTTTAGCAACTCATCAGCATAGTCTAATCTGGTCTAAATTGTTAGATCTATATCAAATCATGTGAAAAAACAAGTCAATCTACTTGATTTCATTTTTAACTTTTATATTCCATATGGTCACAGGTGTAAGGTTCTTCAAGACCTGTGTCCAGAAAAATTATTCCGCAGAGGTGTGACCAGAGAGATGCAGTTGACTCCAAGTGCCAGGAAGTTATGAGGAAATTAACATAGTGAAATGCTAGATAGTTTGGACCGAGGACGGAAATTTATCTAAACATGCCAAATCGTTAATATCACATACCTCAGGCTCTATTGAACAGATTTTGAGGAAAATCTGTACAATATCAAAGTACCTAGAGGAAACAAAAAAGTAGTCAGAAAATTAAAACCTCAAAGTTGGACTTGGCCTGTCAAACATCTGTTGTGTTTTTCTCAAATAAGCACAAAAAGCCAATAAATGTTGCTTATTAATTAGCAAAATTGCTCCTCTTGTGGTTTTTTGAATAAAATTTATTTTTATTCAAATATCATATTTCCATTAAATACTAATTGCTGTTTCCCTCTAAAGCAGAATTCAAGTAGTTAAAATATTAAAGAAAAAAGTAAATAGGATGCATAACATTATTTTTGTTTTTTATTTAAATCATTTATTGTTCTTCGCCTCGAAATAATGATTCCAGAGTAGTAAGTTACAGGGCATTGCACTTAATACAATACTAATGAAATACCAAAAAACGGAACCTGAATTCCCAAAACATCATTAGTTCAATTATAAGCACTATTTTATAAATGTTGATGAAATCATCTTTGTAACGTTTGAAATGTTGAGTTTTTAATAGAATAAATATAGTGTCATTGAATAGTTTTTGTAGCACTAGTTATGTTTTTTGTAATATCTATACTCATAATAGAATATAACAAATTCATGCTACTTTATTATTTTTAATAAAATACTTTAGGAAGAAATACATGCCTACAGAATATCTAACATTATGACGGATTGCAAGTATAGCTACTTGTCACTGTTGATGAAGTTCTGAAAGATAGTGTCAACCTAAAGGATATTCTCAGTCTATAAACACAGATATTTAGTGCTAGCTCGGAGATATATTTTATCAAATAAATAAAATGTATTCTGTGAATAACTGCTTTTTGGAATGAAATATTTGTTGCTACCATAGTTACGTGCTGTTTTCTTCTCCTGATGGCTGCTTAATCAATTGTTTTGAACAAATGATACATTCTAATCACTTTCATATTTCAGGACAGGAGTGTGGAATCTTTCATAAATAATGTTCATTTATGAGCTAACAGTGAATATACATCTGTCAAATATGTTGAATAAACTGCAAGTTAAATAATTTTGTTAAATGCTTCTTTTGGACTCAATATAACTAAATAGCACATATCCCTAACAGTGATGATATATTATAATTCTCGCATTTCTTTTGTTAATGTCGCCGATATTAGTCTAGATTTCTGGTAAAAATATTCTTCAATCTTAGCCTGCATTTGTGGCAAACCTATTGATCAGTTACTTCCACACACCTACACCTACCTCTATGTTTTGTAACACACTAAAATCTTCAAAAGGTTCTGCTGTTTGTTAATCAGCAGGTAACTCCTACACAAATAGCCTCTACTACTACATTCGGGAAGGGAATAATCTCTGATGCTATTCACATTTCTTTCAGTAGTTCTTAACTCTTCATTTTTTGCGTTTTATATGTTCATTTTTGTCATCTGATCATCTTCTAACGTTTTCCTTTGCGTCAAGCACGGGCCTAGGCTATCACATCAACATTAGGGTGAGCATGACTATCATATGGTGGCGAAGTGAGCAATTACAGCTACAACCTCATCATCTGTATCATATGACGTCTAAAATAAGAATATCAATTACTTTTTTAGATATATCATCACACATAAATTTAGCTTTATTTTACCCCTACTGCATAAGTTTTCATCAAACTAGCACTGACTTCTCTTTTTAACGGTGCTGGGGAAAACTTGGATCAAATATATATACCATTTTGTGAAGATCCGCTCTTTTTCAAGCATCTTCGCAACATTATCTAAAGCTGGGATGTCCTGAAGCTTCTGAATATGATGTTAGCTTTCGTAGATTCATAACTCAACGTATAATGCACATTTAACGAGTATCAATCACATAATTACTCACTTCTACTGTTGTTGGTAATTATATTCAATCTAAAAAGCTTTGCAAGAATTAATAATAATAATTATCTCGCCAAAATGAATGTGAGCAAATGATAAACACAAGTAAATTTCTTGATTCTGTATTTTCACGTATGATATTCGGACGTCTGGCTAATAAACCGTAACAACCAATGGAAAAAATTCCTCCGGGCGCTCATGGATTTAAGTTGGGAATGTGGTAAGCAGTTGGGGGATACACATCAAGTGTCGCATCTGGATGATCTGTGTTTTGGGAAGGTAGTTCCGTAGTCTATGATTCTTTATTAATGACCTACCCAGTCTGTTTGAACTTCCAAGATGCACCGTTCTGATCCCTAGTGCACAGCAGACCAACGGCAGATTTGTAATCCTGCTAACAGAATTACCTGCCGCTTTGCAGAGGCGCGCCGTCGCCGTTCATCGTCGCGGTGTGCACAGCTTTGCTGTCGTCCGGAAACTTTGTTATCTTTTATGAATAATAAACGGAATAGAGTAAGTTTCCTCCTTCTCCTGCTTGCTGGTGCTGCAGGCAAGTACGGAAGGCGAGATGCGACAGACCTGGATAGAGTTTTACATCGAATACATTGAAACACACTAACTGTACTGCTCGTATATATTTTTATTTTCGCGTTCATCCTAGGTATTGTTATTCCCTGGAAGTTTTAATGATTATCCTACTACTACCTCTCGCTGTTCTATGTTTCGTGGGCGATAGAAGTTTTATTGCATTCAGTTTGCACGTAAATTCTACTTTTTTGTACAGATCGTGGCTACACAGCTTCATTAGGATGCGCATAAGTTATAAGGCCGTTGGTTATCTCAATAAACAATTGCTACTGTACATACGTACATGCAGAGCTTTTCAAAAAGCTCTCCCCTTACTTGTTTTTTGAACCTGTCTAGTTGGAAAGCTCAAGTTTGGGGTAGGGGAATTGATCATGGAGATTACTATATTTTACCGTAAAATTGGCAGTTTAATATGGCGGCTAGGCGTCGTTTTTAAAAGGAATGGGAATCATTTTGAAGCTCCTTATGAGTACTTGATAATTCTAGACAATAATACGACTATATATGAAAATGGCGAACTGACATTCTGTCAAATTAGAGCAGTTCTTGTACAATGAATCGCTGATAACTCAAAAACTAATCATCAAAACGTACAATATATGTCATATCAATATTCTTCTCTTGGAAGGGTCTATTCGAATATGTAATAAAATTTGGAACATTAATCGCGAAGCATTTCGAAAATGAGATTTTATGTTTTTTAAACTTATATGACATGCGCATCATGGAAAACCATGTCGGTATGTCTCTCTGTCTACCCGCTAATCATTGGCTCGTCTATAACTTGGATTTGGATGAAACTTTCACACAAGGTTACTACTCTGCCAAGGACGAAAGAGCTTTGTAGTTTTTGAAAATCTGTCCGCTGGTGGGAAAGCAAAGTCTAAAAACGAGAAAAATAAAAATTGCCCAAACTTCATTATTTGGAATTTCAGAGACTCCAGATGATTTTCGAAAAAACTTTGTAGGAGCTAAACATTGGATGTTAGGGATTGCAGGGGATGGGGAGACTATATCTACAATTTGTTGACGTTGGTAGATTTATACGCCTCCAACTTTAGTAATTCTACGCACCTATTAGATATATTCCACTCATCATGTATCTACATTTACCCTCAAAACACATCTCCAACAGTTGTGCGTCGACGTGTGCAGCCGTGGTCCGGCTAATGGTCGTGCTCTGCAGTCGGCAGTCGCTTCAGTGCTGTTGTGGGCTACATGCTGTAAAAGTCAATATCGTCATCGATGCGGGATTAGTCATAGAAGCAATCATATGGGCACGCAGAAATTTCTCTCAACGAGAGAGGCACACATTTAATTTTTTGTTATACATTTTTGTAGCAAACTTTTTTCAGAAGGGGTAACTAGTGCCGAACATAATCCTTTACGAACTGATGAGCGTGTTGCGTGTTAAGTACAGAGTAAACTTACTCGCCGCTATTTTTTTAACTACGTGTACCATTTCCAGGATTATAATGACTTATAAGGAGTTCCAAAATGAGGTGTCATGCAACCCCCATTCTGTTTAAAAGATGTTACCTGTAAGTGATGTTCGACCTTAATTATGTGAACTCCTAATTATTTAGAATACATATCGTAGTACCCTCATAGTAGTACCCAACCGCCACCATTTCAAAGCGCGCCCCTTCCCCCTACCTTTCTCCCCTCTGGCCGCCTATAAACCTTCATTTACTTCAAAGCCAAGTTATTGCAACAATTGGGTGAAACATAGAGAGAGGGAGGGAGCTGTTTACTTTGACGAGGACTTCACATAATTAAGATCGAATATCACTTACAGGTAAGTTCGTTTGATCATGTAATTACGTATATGTTCCGTGCTCATCGCAGTAAATATTTGGAATACATATCGTAGATGTTCAAAGCTAGTTGCAACGACATACTACTAACGCTCTGCAATAGTAAACCATAGGTTGTACACAACTACACAAATTGTACGCAATGTATGTGTCAACTAAATGTACATTTCCATTGTAACAATTCAAGTTAAGGCTTTTAGCAACAGGTAATATGACGTACCTGGTTCAAAAATTACCATCCATTTCATGGGAATGAGCAAATAACGTAATAACATAGTTATGTTTAAGGTGTGGAGACTTGGTTCACCTCAAATGCCGCTTGAGCAAAGCTATTGTTTGGCATAAGAGATTTATGACGTATCTCAGAAAACGCACTCCAGCCCGCCGTGGCCTGCGACTACTATAATTTAGCAAGCGGAGAGGTAGACGCATTTCATGTACTGTGGGTTGTCAATTGTGACACTCTCTGCTAAAACCGACTTCATCCATCTAGGAGCCGAGGCACCATGATAAAGTTACTGTACAGTGACAAATAAATAATGCTTTGCACAGATATTTGGGCGAAAAATATGGTAAAACTTAAGTGGTTGCCACATGAGTGACCCCGAAACCTTTGAAAACTGAGAAATCCCAATTTCAGTATTATTCAACCCAATCCGGATGTCGCCTGTTTCAATTAGTTTGCACACTCTGACCTAAGGTTAGTGTTGCTGATTTCCTCATCCAAATATCTACAGAGCTTACCAGCAACCTCTTTGGTTGGTTGAGAATAACCACAGTATCTATATTTCAGTTGAGATGGCCTCAAACTGCAAATGCCCTTCAAAAACCATCTTATGTCTGCATCGTTAGTAAAATTTTGGGTAAAAGATTGATAGCTCAAACAATTATATCTGGATCTCTTATCACCTGTAAGGTAAGAAATTTCAAGGTAGGAAACCAGACATGTATTTCTTCCCGAGAAAAGTCCTACCGTAATATAAGCCCACAATACATGATGGATTATCGATGTTAATTGGATGACAGCTTTCCAGTGACGATAACCAGGGTAAGCTTCAGAATTAGTGGGAGCGGCGTCCTGGGTCCCTCCATCAGATGCTTGCGTTACTTCTAGAAGTGAAATTTCAGAAACACCGAATACTTGAACCAAAATCAGGACGGTGACAGGTGCAGCTCCCACTCCGTTTCCACGTCCCACTGACGCAAAAGCTCATCTGTACCAGTATTACTCCTAGATTTTCTATTTGACACGAGGGCAGTAAGATTTATCTATTACACAATTGCCATAGTTTTCCCCCAACCTGGTCCAGACGTGGAAACCAGAAGCTCTCCATTCTATTGATGTAGGATGGGGTATAATATGCGACAGCTCATCAATTCGATAGCAAAGCATTCACCACAGAAGAAAACTACCGGTTGTTCTTGATGAGTAGCATGCGGGATTTTCTCGGGTGACCAAAAACTAGAGACTCCTCCCTGACCAACGAATCTCCCAATCCGAGAAATTATACAACACAAAATTGGATAACTCAATACCTCTGACAGCATGTGCCAGTTTCTTTGAGCCCTAGCCGAGGTAGACCTTAAGTTATATTATGTTAGTGGCATAGTAGCGTTAAAATTCCCTTGAGAATTTTACAAGGCAAGAAATTTCACTCGTTAGTGTATGTGTAGTGCTGTAACGAAATGAAACACACGCTGACACCAAGATCCCGATGTTCACCGCAAAGTTTCGGACTCTGTCTTGGTTGCTCTCCATTATTGCCCTTACTAGGTTTAGTAATGTCTGCGTCGTCCGCTCAAGTAGAGTTACTTTCTTTCTGTCACAATTTAATACTGAACCTGAAAGTGCCTATTTTTTTCTTAAGGTATTCCAGAAATGGTTTTTATTAACTTTCTGAACATATAAGCGGTATAATTTACCCTAAACGGTACAGCATTGTATTGGAAGAGCTGTCCCTTGAATATGAATCTGAATACATTCTATCACTCTCCCTAACGGGTACCAAAATCCCTGCATATTCAAATCTAGATTTGTTAAGAAAGTATCTCTACGGGGAAGTTTGATCCCGGTTCAATAGCCTAGACTTAAGTGTTATATCCCTATAAATAAACAGTCTTAAGGTAAGGAATCAAACGTGTTGACTCATCAGGCTTGGGAGCAAGAAAAAGTTGGATAGGTGCTGATTTTTAGTTGGCTCAACTTTTTTACTGATGTAGCTAAACAACTCATAGATGGACTAATAAGATTCAGCTATGGCAAAGTGCTAAACCAGTCGCCATCTGAATGTCCAACTCAGGACTTTAGCGCCACTTCTAAAGCTCTGCCACTGATGTTGAATACGCGTTAATGTCCATGCTGATCTACACGTATCATCTGCAATATTCGGTTGATGTTCTCAGTACGTTGTCTAGCCTTTTGGCCTTCAGTTGCTGCTCTGTTTATCCGATTTCTATTTAGAATTGACTTACTTGGTCAGACCTACACCGAAGAGCACTGGAAGCCTCTGTCAAAGTACTCCTGACTTCTTTGCTTTAATGTGAATATCTGCCAGCAAGCACTCCTCTCCTTCTTTGAACCTAGAGGATAGAGTATTGTCACTTGCAGTTAATGAACAGTTCACATGTTGCTGTACACAGTCCAAGCACGCATCCCTGCGTGCGACAATTTCTATTATGGCTTCCGTTACCTCGGGGTTCACCTTCGATGGCTAGAATAGTACAGAATTTATTCATCTATCGTCATCAACAAGTTCTGTCCTCGAAACGTCAGCTTTGGAACAACGCGCGAACATTAATTATACTAAGGTCGCCGCATCATCGTGGTGATGTCTCATCTATTGGCCTTTAAGACAACACAATCCTGCGCCCTATGCAAAATGTAACGTTAATCGGGCATAATGACATCTAACTTGCGTTATTACTGAACATTAGAACTTTGGTGGTTTCCTAACCGGAGATGTTCATACGTACAGTCCTGTTCCATAGTTATCACCAGCCATGTGGAATTTGCCATTACAAGCAAAATGTAACGCTAGGCTCGCATAGATAATACCTAATCTCTATCTGTTATTAACGAAAAATGGTACTTTAGTGGTTTCCTAAACTGTCATTTGCATTCTGACAAGGATATTCCAAGGTTATCACAAACCAAATGAAATTTGCTATCACAGGCAAAATGTAACGCTAGCCTCGCATAAGGTGCCTATTCTTTATATGGTGATAAGAAAAAGATATACATTGGCGGTGTG